GAATATACGCAGGTGAGGCATCCTAAGAAAGATCACTGGTTATAGCACTAGGAGATGGACAGCAAGCCACGCCAGAGACCATACAACACTGAAAAACATCGAAGATTCACCAAACCAGGTTAAAAGAACTTACTGAGTGCATAGACATTCAAAAGCCTGTCTTAGTCTAAGGACTAAGCTCTAGAGAAAGGAAATATACCCTAAAATTAAATTCAAAACTGAAATAGACTTCCTCTAATAGGATAATAATAATAATAACAAAACTATAAGGATTGGGCAATAATTTAACTGACTGCCAGAACAAAGCTCAATACCCTTTAAAGGAAGATGTCATGATCCAGACTCAATACATGATGTCATCTACATCAATAACAGCAACAAAAACTATACATGAGAAGACATAGTTGCCTTATGTTTGCCACTAACCCACAGTCAAGAGAAAACAGTCACTAGAAACCAATCTAGTTGTTAGAATCAGTAGGTAAGAACTTTAAAGCAGCTAGTGAAAATATGCTTGAGGATATTAAGAGAAGTCATGATCATAATAAATAAACAGATTGGGAATCTCTATAGAGAAAGAAAAAAGAACCAAACAAAAATTCTAGAATTCAAAAACGAAGCATCTGAAATGAAAATTTTACTGAATGAGCTTAACATCAGATTGAAGACAAGAGAAGAACAGATCATTTAAGATAAAGAATGTTAATATAAACTATCTTATGTAAAGAACATTAATATAAAATTGTCTTTTCTGAAGAACAGACAAAAAATAAATTTAAAATAGCAAATAGAGCCTCAATAATCTGTGAGACATCACCAAGTTGCACAACAAATGTGTAAGCTGAGCCCCAGAAAAAGAAAAGAACAAAATGTCAGAAAATTAGAAATATTTGAAAATAAGATGATTGAAAAGTTCCCCAAATTGGTTTAACATAAATGTTCTAGTATAAGTAGATCAGAAAACCCCAGCAAGAAAAACACAAAGATCATACTTGGATTGACCATATTCAAACTTCTGAAAAAAAAGAAAACACTGAAAGCTGGTACTAAAAAAAAATGATACTAAAATATCAGGGAACAACTATAGAGTAATGGAAGAAATAATTCTAATCAATTTTCAAAGACCATGAAAATCAGAAGACAATGGCATGACACATTGAAAAGGTTGAAAGAAAAGATACCTATTCAAAATTACATAGGCAGGAAAAATACACTTCAAAATGAAGGTGTAATAAAAACTAAGATAAATTGTTACTAGGCTGAAAATAAATCACACCAGATGAAAATTTAGAATTAAAGAAAGCCTACTAGAAAAATGTAAATTTAAATAATTTAATACATTATGTACTTTCTTCCCCTGATTTCTTTAAAAGACTGCTTAAAGCAAAAACTATGATACTATGGGGTTTATAACATATGTAGATATAAATATATGGAAAGGGCAAGTGAAATGATTTGTGCACATGATTATAACTATATGTGAGAAAGTAAGACCAGTCTCTAAATGGACTAATAAGTTATAATCCCTATGATGGCCACTAAAATAATAATTTTAAAAGAGGTATGAGTAACAAACCAACAGAAATATTAGAATACAAAAAAAAATATTCAATTATTCCAAAATAAGGAAAGAAAGGAGGAACAGCAGAACTAAAATCAAATGGGACAAACAAGAGGTTGGTAGACTAAATCAGATCAATTCAATAATAACATTAAATATAAATAAGCCGAACACTGCAACTAAAGGCAGAAATGATCACATTGGCTTAGAAAAAATATCCAACTATCTGCCTATAAAAGAGGCACTTGAAAGAATGAAAAGATCTCCAGCATAAAGAGTGAGCATAAAAAATAGAAACTTACTACACTAATGTCATACAAAATAGGCTTCAAGTTAAGGAATACTGCTATAGAGAAACACTTTGTAACTATAAAAGGTCCAGTTCATCAGGAAGACATTAAAGTCATAATGCTTATGTCCTTAAAAACAAAGAAACAAAATACAGAAAGCAAAACTGACAAAACTGAAAGGAGAAACAGACAAGTCCAAACCTTAGCTGGAAATATATACACCCCTCTCCCAGTAATTGATTAAGCAGGTAACAAAAAAAAACAGTAAGGATATAAGTATCTGAACAACCTTGTTAACTAACTTCATTGAGTTAACATTTATAGACCACTAAATGCAATAACTACAGAATACATTCTCTTTCCAAGTACAAATCAATATCCATCAAGATAGGTCATGTGCTAGGCCAATAAACAAGTTCCTATTGACTTAAAATTCAGACGCTCTCCTGCCATTTGATTAGAGATCAATAACTGGCAGACACTTGGAAAATCCTTAAATATGTTAAATGAAAAATAGCACATTTATAACTAATACATAAATCAAAGAACAAACTAAAATTAGAAAATATTTCTAATAAATGATAATGAAAACATAATACATCAGAATTTGTGATATGGAGCTGAGCTAACAGCGGTGCTTAGAAGAAACTCTATATTTTAAAAGCTTATATTAAAAAAAAGGAAGATCAAAATTATCCTAAGTTTCTTCCTTAAGAAACTTGGAAGGGGAAAAAAAAGGAAATTGGGTCCCAAAGAAGTAGATGGAAATAAATAACATAAAGAGAAGAAAT